CATTGTTACTGTTATAGATACTGTATGGATATGGATAATATGGATTCATTGACATTGATTGATACTTATTTCTACACTGTATTGAACTGCTGCATTTGATTAATTGCTAGTATAGACTGGGCTTTATTGTGTTGATTTTATGATTTCGTACCGATCGATTTAATTGACCAGATAGTATTATTTTGATTGATTCGATTTAATATGATTGATTTGACTGATTGACTGATTTTCTACTGTTTATTGATTCTTCTACAGCTGCATTGACTACTGATTTGATTTCCGTATTTGCATAGATTCATTGATCATGTGCAATAGACTGTTATGGATTTGATTGACTGACATGCATATTGTTTCCAATATCGTGCTTTGATTTCAGTTGTAGGTATTAGGTGACCTGCTCGGCTTTTTGAACCTCATTATATGTGGTTAATATTTTCAGGTCAGAGTAAGGGAGCAGGAGATTGAGGTTGATCAGAAATCTCCAGGTTTTTGTCCTTTTTGGTTATAGTGATTCTTTTGTACTCAGGACAGGATAGATTTCAGTTCATGTGTTTGTGGTCATAGTGTAGTTCCTGAGTATTGTATATGATCTTTTGAGATATGAATCGACTTGTACATTGATGTTATAAATGTTATAGATTTTTGCTAGACTGTTTGATTGAAGTTATATATAGCTCTGGTAAATTATTGATGGATTGTTTGAAATTCTTTCCAAGTTAGATCTTGGGGCGTCACACCACCAGTGTTTGCAGTCTATTACAAATGAGGCCCTTCATTGGCACTAATTATTATGTGCGGATACCAGACGGAAAGAACTGTCTAGATTTGCTGCGCTTTTACTAGCCTTTTGCTGGGCTTTTGCAAAAGGGCAGCAAATATCTAATATTTACTAAATAATTAAATATTTGTTGCGCTTTTGTTGCATTTTTGTAAAAGGATAGCAAAAGTGCAATAAAAATGTATTCATAATTGAATATTTGTTGTCATTTTATTTTACAAAAACGCAACAAATCCGGACGGTTCCCTCCATCATGTGTTCACACAGAATAATTTCTCCTTCCTTGGGGCGAACACATTGGCTCGATGTAGCAAACATACATTGTATATAACATAATACATAGTCGGAGAATGGCATGACAGTATTCATAATTGAATATTTGTTGTCATTTTATTTTACAAAAACACAACAAATTCGGACGGTTCCCTCCATCTTGTGTTCACACAGAATAATTTCTCCTTCCTTGGGGCGAACACATTGGCTCGATGTAGCAAACATACATTGTACATAACATAGTACATAGTCGGAGAATGGCATGACAGCTGCTCTTAATAGAGTGTTAATATGTTCATTTGATTAGTAGGATCACAGTCGGCGGGTGATGGTGGTCGGAAGGACCGTAGTCGATGGGTGACAGTGGTTGAAAGGATCTTAGTCAGCGGACGACAATGGCCGAAAGGACCATAATAGAAGGGCAACGGTGGTAAGAAGGACTGTAATTAACTAGCGACAGTGGTCCAACGAAGGCTTTTTAGTGGCTTCCATATGGAGGTCTGACGATGATGGTCGACCAAATGTTCAACATAGACAACATGGTGGCGCAGATTCGTCGACGATGGTACCGGGTGGAGCTTTAGCCTTAGAGCTCTTCTCTTCTTCCTTTCCTTTTCCTTCCTCATGTGAAGAATAGGGGACTATTTATAATTTTTTTTGGGAGTGACATAACTAATAAATATGGAGAAGATTAAGATCATGTTGGGAGTGTTACATTGGATGGTTTATAGTGATCCCCAAGATCATGACATGTTTATCAAGCATTCAGATGCCCTATGGATGTCAAAATTGAGTGATCTTAGGCTCGTTGGATTCGTCTCGTTGAGCCACTCGATTCGACTATAAGCATGCCATATTCATATATCATTTGATAGCCCAAATAATATTTTGAAGCTTCCAAATAGACTTTAGACCTTTAATTTGGGCTCATTTGGGTTCGAATTGGATCAAATTTGCTATCGTTAGGTTCATCTCCTCGAGATATTTAATTTAATTATAAGTTTGTTGAAATTAAAGATAAGATGATCCCAATTTTAATTTTTGAAATCTCAATCTCATATTTGCATCGAGATTCGGGCCTGATAAAGAAGAAATTTTTGGTAACATATCAATGATAATATTTGTCAAATTTTATTAAGTTGATTTCGAAAATGTTGAAGACAATGAATTAATTATTCTATTATAAAAATTTATTTTTTTATAAAAATAATTTTTTAAAATGAATAAAAAAAATAATAAAATAAAATTATGATTGAAAACTGCTTGGAAGCCTGCTAAAGTGGTGGAATGACGATAAATTTACCTCGTTGAAAATCTATCAAGAGTATGGTTCTTCGTCGATCAGACGTCCGGTCGGAGGAAAATTCCCGCCAAAAAATGAGTTGTATCGAGCAAATACCGAGCAATACCAAACAATAACGAAGAATACCATCATTTGAAGACCCAATACCGAGTTATACCGGGCTTTACCGAGCAAATACCGAGTTATACCAAAGTTGTACCGAGTTTTTCGCAGAAAAAGCAGAAAAACTCGGTACAACTCGGTATTTCTCGGTACAGCTCGGTATAACTCGGTATTGGTCTTCATAGAACGGTATTATTCATTATTATCAAATAATACCTAGTTGTACCGAGGAAATGCCTAGTTTTTGGACTGGAAATTGACTCCGACCGGAGGTTCCTCTATGTCCTTGCACCGAATGTAATAAAAGTTCGTAAAGTGGTGGAATGACGATAAATTTACCTCGTTGAAAATCTATCAAGAGTATGGTTCTTCGTCGATCAGACGGCCATCATCACTCGACCATGCTAAACTCCACGTAAACGACCTAAACCCTAAGAACCACGTCCTGTATTCGCTTCGGCCCCTTCTCTCGCTGTCATCTACCGCACAGAACCCTATTTCTCCTTCCAGAAATTGATGTAGTAGTAGCATAAGAAGACTATTTCAGGTCCGAGATTCCTTCGACCCATGTTTCGTAGATTGATTTTTTTTTTTTTAATTTTTAATTTTTAATTTTATCTCTTCGTCCCGTCACTTTTCTCTACGGACCGCTCTCTGTATTTGAGGACGCTGAAGCAGCAGATTCAGTTTTTGAGTGTTTTCCTATATAAATTTCAAATTAGGTTCCGGGTTTAGACACGGCCCTTCTTTTACGGGTAGGAATGTCTTGTTGGAATCTTATTGGATTTCTTCAAATCTTTTGCTCTTCAAGATGCAGCTTCGTCCGAACAGCTACTTACTTTTCCCCTTTTAAGGATTCGGCATGCGTTCAGTTTTATTCATGTGATGCGCATTGGATCAATAGTGTGCTCTTATATCCATTGAATTTGCCCGTCTTTTATTTATCGATGCTCTAGGGGTTTTTGGTTCAGGATTATATTATTTTAGGTGATGATTATTAATTGTAAATACCTGATTTCATTGAGGGATAAAATTAAAGTTTGATCTAAGTAATTGTGGAATACGCAGTTTATTCTGTCTTAAGAACTTTACAATTGAGCTAATTATGATCGATGGGAGGGATGGAGATTAAAGCTGTTCACCAATGTTTGGTAGGCTTAGCCAGCAGGCCAAATTTATTAAGTTTGCCATTTGATTGCATTAGCACCCAACAGATATGCCCATGACTACGTTAATGCCAAATAAAAAAGCTGTTCTCTTAGGTTGACTCGTGCAAATATTAGTATTTTAAGAATTTTGAAATTTTAAAGGATTACGGTTTCATTTGGGAGAACTTTCTTTCTGCTTTTTAGAGTAACTTTTTAGTACAAAAGTTTTATAGTTCAAAAAGTTTATGTACTAAAAAGTTGTTTTAAATCAGTAAGAAAACTGTCTTAAACAAAGTCTAAATTCTTAATAGGAGAATCTTTGATTTATAGATTCATATGCATAACACTTAAGTTTGCATTAACAGGAGTGAAGTTAAATCCTGCATACCCACCATAGAATTAATCCAAATCCACCTGAAAGGGTGAATTAGAATTAGGGAAGACTAGCCAAGTTAGCTACTATGACCATCTCAATACAACAACAACAACAACAACACAACAACAACAACAACAACAAGCCTTTATCCCACTACGTGGGGTCGGCTACATGAATCCTTTTTCTCCATTGTGTCGTATTAAAAGTCAAATTCTCGTTTAAATCTAATAAAGAAAGATAATTTCTAATATTTTATTACAAAGTCTTCTTAGGTGTGCCTCTACCTTTCTCAACATAAGTCAAATCTAATATCTCTACTTTCCTAACCGGGTCATTGGAAGGCCGCCGTTTTATGTGACCAAATCATCTAAGGCGACTCTATCTAATCTTATCTTCTACTGGAGCTACTCCAACCTTTTCACGTATATCCTCATTTCTTATTCTATCTCTAAGGGTAAAGCCACTCATCCACCTGAGCATCCTCATCTCTGCCACACTTAACTTATTATTATGATTGTCTTTTAATGGCGAACATTCGACACCATAAAGCATTGCAGGCCTCACCACCATCTTATAGAATTCTTATAGAATTTTTTCTTAAGTTTGAGAGGTACTTTTCTATCACACAACAAGCCCGATGTGTTCCTCCACTTCAACCATCCAATTTGAATTCTCCTGATAATATTCCCATCTATTTCACCATCACTCTGAACAATAGATCCAAGATATCTAAAACGTGTACTCTTATTAATGACTTGATCGCCCAAAGTCACAATCTCCTCACTTGGTCTATTACTACTAAAATCACACTCCATATATTCCGTTTTAGATCTACTCAAGAGAAAACCTTTAGACTCTAAGATTGACCTCCAAAATTCAAGTTTACCTTCAACTCCCTCTCTAGTTTTATCAACAAGAAGAATATCATCAACAAAAAGCATACACCAAGGTACATCCTCTTGTAAATGTCTACTGAGAACATCCATGACTAAAGCAAAAAAGATATGGGCTTAAGGCTGATCCTTGATGTAACCCAACCGAAATAGGGGAATACTTGGTTAAACCACCTTGTGTTTGAACACAAGCAATAGCTCCTGCATGCATATCTTTAATGATTTGAATATAATAGTTATTAACTCCTTTCTTTTCAAGAACTCTCCATAGCACTTCTCTTGGAACTTCATCATATGCTTTTTCTAAATCAATAAATATCATATGTAGATCCTCCTTATTTTCTCTATATTTCTCCATCAAATCTCTTAATAAATGTATGACTTCCATAGTCGACCTACCCGATTTGAATCCAAATTGATTTTGAGAAACATTAGTATCACGCTGCAACCTATACTCTGACCATCTCAATGAAAAAAAATTTCTTTTTTGTTGGAGCAGACAGCCAATGTATCTAATTCATTGTTAATTATATTCCGAACAACTCTTTTGTCTTTGGGTTAGTTTGTTATATTTTGGGTGATCACATTTAATCTTATTTGGATGCATTTCAAAACAAAGGAACCTTGCTAGTGCTACAAACATGGCGAAGAAGAACCCACTTGTTTTTTTGGAGATATCACTTGCTGGTGGCCCTGCCGAGAGATTGGTAATCGAGGTATTGTTGTGATTTGGGTTAATGAGCTTTTTGGTGCTCATTTTAATGTTTGAATTCAAGATTCTCTTTGTCGCTACTTCTCTTTTTTGAACATCTTCTTTTGAATATACAGCTTTTTTCAGATGTTGTTCCAAGGACGGCTGAGAATTTTCGTTCACTTTGCACGGGTATAGATTTGTTATCTCAATCCTTTGTGAAGCACCTTTTCATCTGGAATTTGTATTAGCAAACTGTTCGTTGCAAATGGCTAAATCATGATGGTTTATCATTTATAATCAATTTTTACCTTTAAAGTTACTGATGTGATTTACATGTTTGCTTATATAATTCTAGGGGAGAGGTGGATTTATATATGATTTTCCATTTTCTCTTACAATGTACTTGTAATTTTGTGAAGTATTGCTCCCCCGCATTCTATTTATCCTTCTGCTTACAAAATCAATAAACAATTTTCTAAGTGCATGTCTTTTTAATTCTCTTTAAACTTGAAAGTTATGCTTTGCCAAACTATTATCATGCATTATTAGTGGCCTATGAAGCATTTCACTTAAGGCCTTTGTTTGATGATATCATTTTTTCAAACTTGGTGATTTGTTTTTACTCAAGAATGCTTCATCGATGGAATGCTACTTTTCGTGGTTGGCTCCATTAATCAACTTAACCATTCTATTACAGGTTTTTCGTACCATTACTATACTTTTGTTTTGGAAATTGATTCTTTTTGCAATTCAGGTTTTTTCTATGGTGGCCATTAGCCCATCACACATGCTTCTATATCATTTCAACGCCGCTGCATTTGTTGAAATATGCTAATTTTAGGTCTCATACATTAGATAGTCTTGATTACCTCATTTAAACACTGCAGCTTTAGGTTAGACATATTTGACTTCACTTACCATCCCATTCTTTTGTTAACATTTCAGCTGAAAAGATTTTGCTCACCTTTTTTTGGCATTATCTTCTTTAATTTTCTAAACATGCGTGTTCTAACCTGGCAGCAACTGCCTATGCTATTATTAATTGGGAAAACTTTTGTAAAGAAAAAAGAAAAGGTCTGTTAAAGCTATAGATCAATATCATGTCTTTGTTGAGGTTTGCTCATTGGCAATCCTTTGTTGATGGAAAAAAGTATTGAGTAATGTCTTTGGTTGATATCAGTGAAATGAATGCTTATTCAATCAATTTGTTGAGCCAGCGAAATGAATTTCTTAATTGTTAAACAGTCTGGATGAGTGTTTTAGTTGTAAGTTCTCCAGGCCCTTTGTGCAAGATTCTGATAGGAAGTGCTTGTATTCACAAGCAACCTATCCAAAATCGGCGAACCAACAGCAGCCAAATGGCTGTCCACAGCAGGAAAACAGCAGATTTCTGCTGTTTACAGCAGGAAAACAGCACTTATCCGGGAAAATACGAGAGAAAACTCAAGAAAAGACTTGTATTCCACTTAGACGATGAATAAAAGAGCAAGATACAATTGATCCTCAATTCGAGAGGAGGATCGATCTCTCCCAAATCTCTAGACGCCGCTAGAGCCCAAAGAAAACCTAAATCTACGAGATCTCAAATTTCAGCCAAATTCAAGATACTCAAACCTTAGAAAAATCAACTATTTAATGTATACAAATCAAAAGGAATTCCCTAAACAGTCCCTACAATCAATTTCCCTCCTAAAATCCATTCAAAAACCTTCCTATTCGGCCCTGTTTGATCCCGGCGGGCGTGCTGGAGGCGGAACTTTCGCCTCGTGTAGCTGGGCCGGTCCCGCGTGGACCGGTCTAACAGATTCTCTTTATGTTCAAAATTTCCAAATTTACTTTGGGCCGACTATAGTGTAATTGTGGAACTTTTGGGTGCTGAATGGTTATTGAACCTTTAATTTGCTCAGAAATTTCCCTTTGTTGGATAAGCTATGCCTTTTAAAGATGAGAGGATTAAAGCGAATGTCATGTGAAGAATTTACCCCTTGATTTTTGATCATAATAAAAAAAGATATTATAGATAGTAGTTATAAAAAAGCAACCGCAAATACAATAGAAAACCACCACCCGACCACAAATAAGTATATAAAAAAGATTGACATGGACAATAGATAACAGCAAACATGATAGAGCACCATCGTCACAAACAAGAGAGGAACAACAATATCAGAAACCGATAGAAGGACCATGCTTAGTCAATTATATTTTGCAGAACAAAAGTAACATTTCATTTTTCTTGATACGGCTAAGATAAACCTAAAGTGTGCTACCAAGTATGATGCCTGTATTTTTTTTAACACACTTAATTTCTTGGTCAGTTTGTCTGTTTTACAGGGATTTTGTGGTGATCTGATTTTATATGTAAAGGCACTGCTGCTTTTGTCTCGCCTTGGATGTCTCATGCTGACACTAATTTATGTTCTAAATTGTTGAATAAGGTTAATGTTTTCTGCTGTTTACCTCAATGGTGCTACACTAATATCATTTCAACTTTATAATGTCCAATTTGGTGACTGAAGTATCACAACCATCTGAGCGGCAATATGGTATCGCTCTTATGGTATTTTTTTGTTCTTTATCCATCTTTAGGATCATTATGCCCCACTTTAATGTATTCATCTTGTCTCTGTTCGTTGTATGTTTTTTGGAACTTATTTGGAACTTCATTTTGCATAATTTTGTTTGTATTTTGAAGTTATTTAGAACTTCATTTTGCACTGTGTTAAAATCTTAATTTTGTGCGTGTTTAGGTGAGAAAGGTTCTGGTCGTTCCACTTTAAAGCCTTTACATTACAAGGGATCAATCATTCATCGCATAATCAAAGGATTTGTTGCTCAGGCATGGAACTAAACTCATGAATTATTCACATGTATTTGTATTCTGTTATAATTGCTTTCTAAGAATTAGTATTTTGCCTTTCTTGCTAGCTAGCGCAGTATTATTGGGAATTTTAGTTGATATTTAATACTTTCATGTCAATTTTTCATTTTTGTAAACTATATAACTGCAAATACTTAAGTAATTGATGAACTTAATGTTAAAATTTTTTTTGTTCTTCTGTGAAATGTTTGCCAGGGTGGTGATTTTACAAGACAAGATGGTATTGAATTGATATGCACAGGCTTCTTTACATATGTGACTTCTAGCTGTATCTTTGCCTTGAAAGCTCAACCTTAATTGTTATTTCCAGGCAGTGGTGGTGAGAGCATTTATGGAGGAAAATTTCCAGGTACAACATGTTTTCAACTTTTTTACGTCTGCTACTTCCAAGCTTTAATGGTAGTATATTGATATATTTCATACATTCAATTACCGTAAAGATGAAAATTTCAAACTGAAGCATGATGGACGTGGAATTGTGTCCATGGCAAACAGTGGTCAAGATTCAAATGGTTCCCAGTTTTTTATTACGTTTAAGGCTACACCACATCTTGATGGGTAAGATTTTACCTACCATTGCTTTTGAGATATAATTTATTTTTGAATAAGTTAACTAATGCATGTATAATAAAATTTTTGAAAAGAAGTTGCATCTGTTAATCAGTAATAGTACATCTGATATTATTGTCTTATATTTTTATCTATTGCACGTTTTTTTGGAGTACTTAACTCAAAGTTTATTTTGATGTGGTATATTATCTTGTGTCTCGTCAATTATGTCCACCTAGTATATCATCTATTTGACTAGTATAGCATTAAATAATATCTTCACTGGTACACCGCTCAGTAATTCCTTTGTTCTATATACCATTATTTTTCTTCTCACCTATTTGACTAGTATGCTAATTTTCTCTCTCTCTCTCTCTCTCTCTTTCTAGCAAACATGTTGTTTTTGGAAAGGTTGTACAAGGTATGGATTTTCTGAAGAAGATTGAGCAAGCCGGTTCTGATACCGGAAAGCCTACTTGTCTTGTAAAAATTGTAAATTGCGGTGAAATAACTGAAATTAAAGCTGCCACTTTTTCAACGGAGAAAGGTATTTAGAGGCAATCAGTGCTATGATTTTTTTCCTGAATTGTTTCCTGATGACACATTTTAGTATTTACAGGCAAGAAACTTGCAAAGTTTGGGAAAGATCTTTCAGATAGTTCTGATGGACTGAGGGAAAGAGACAAAAGACATGTTAAGGACAAAAGGGCAAAGAGGAAAAAGAGATATTCATCATCAGATTCTTATAGCTCTGATGATTCTGATTCTGATTCCGATTCATCTAGTAGTGATTCTGATTCTGACCCTTCATCATCAAGCACAAGCTCATCCAGTGACTACAGACGCAAGAGGAGAAAGAAAGCTTCTAAAAAGGAGAAAAATGAAAATAGAAAAAGAAAAAGGGTGAAGCATCGCAGAAACTATAGCAAAAAGTCAAGACAAAAGTCAAAATGGTAGTAAATTGCTCATGAAAATGTTTTGCTTTTTTTTTTTTATTATGTTCCTTTCTCATGGTGCGGCTGCTGTATTTTGTAGTGATATCATCATGGTAATGTAAGTTTATTTCTCCTATAGGATTTCTACAAGTTCAAGTGATTCAGGCAGTGGGAATAGTAACAGTAGAGATTCTGATAAAGAAAAAGTTGGCAGCAAAAATATTGATAGATCTGATAAAAAATCACCGCCTGCTGATATATCTGCCAAAGTTCTTGGTAAGTGTGGCAAATTAACTGCTACATCATTTCATTCAGGATTTTCTCAAAATCCCTGAAAAGCTTTTTTTATTTTTTTTAAACTATTATTCGGAATTTTTTCTCAATATGTTAAATGTTGTAAATACTGCCGTCGCCATATCCTATGTCCTGGATGAGACAAATGGAGGGTTGCGTTAGGTAGTTGATAGCCAGTTTAAAATTTGTTGAATAATCATGACATAAATCTTTTAATATATTGTGTTAATGCTATGACGTTCCTTAGAAGCAATGCGTTGTATGACCTGAATACACTGAGAAGTTTGCAAGTGCTGCTGCACCTACGCTCGAGTATAGTGTTAAATAAGCAAGAGTTTCCACATCACGGATGGATGTGGGCAAAGAAACTAGTTAATGAAAATAGAATTAGAATATAAACTTGGAATATAAATTCTCTTATAGACAAATTAATGGAATTAATAGATATTATGATTCATAGGAAGATAAATATTCTATGCATTTAGAAAATTAAATGGGTTGGAGAGAAGGCTAAGGATATTAATAGTTTAGGTTTTAAACTATGATATTTAGGTAGGAGATACTAAAAATGATATAGGTATGATTATAAATAAAAGTTTGAAGGATAAAATTATAACTTTAAAAATTGTTATTGATGCTAAGTTTATTATTATCATAAGTGCTTATGCTCCTCAAGTAGGGTTTGATATGTGTTCAAAATTAAAATCTTAGAATGATTTAGAAGAATTAATACAAAATATATCTCTTGAAAAAAGTGTTTTTATTGGAGGAGATTTAAATAGACACGTTGGTAAAATAGTTGAATATTATAAAAGCTTTAATGGTGGTTATGAGTTTGGCGTGACTAATGAAAGTAGGAGGACTATATTAAATTTTTTTAGCTTATGATGTAATAATTGCTAGCACCTTATTTAAGAAAAGTGATGATATCTCATCATTTATAAGAATCATATAGTTAAACTCAGATTGATTAATTTCTTATAAGAAAAATAGATCGTTTATATTACAAAGATTGTAAAGTTATTTCGTTTATATTGCAAAGATTGTAAAGTTATTTCGACTGAAAGTTTATGTGCTCAATATCCCTTATTAGTTTGGATTTTAAGTTGAAGGAGTGGAATATGAAAAATAAAGTAAAATATTGCCTAGGATTAGATGAGTGCATTTAAATAATATTAACAAAATATTTTTGAGAGTAAGATTTATGATTGTAAGATTCTGACTGTACATGAGGAAGTTTATACTGTGGGAAGAAATAGCTAATGATATGAAGATTGTTGCAAAGGATGTGTTTAGAGTATCAAATGAAAATGCTCATAATAGTAAAAATAGTTGGTGGTGGAATGAAAATATGCAAGAAAAGATAAAAAATAAGAAGTTTTGCTATAAAAATTAGTTTGGATGTAAAAATAAAAAAATTAGGAAAGATAATAGTGGCCTTTAAGGATTTAAGAAAGCAATATATGATGCAAAAAATTTAGCTTTGAATGATTTATATAGTAGATTAGATACTAAGGAGGGCGAAAAATGTATGTATAAATTAGCTAAGTAAAGAGATGGGAGGAGTAAGGATTTAATTCAAGTTAAGTGCATTAAGGATGAAGATAAAAAAGTACTTTTATTATAAGAGGATATTCAACAAAGGTGGATGAGACATTTTGATAAGCTTTTCAATGATGATTATGAGAACACGATTGACTTTAGTGACTTTAATGAAAAATAGATTTTTGTTTATCAATGCATTAGTAAAACCGATGTTAGAGAGGCTTTAAATAAAATGAAGTGTAAAAAAACTGTCGGACTCGATGATATTCCAATAGAGATGTGGAAATGCTTAGGAGATGAAGGAATTTCTTGGCTTATGAAAATTTTCAATATTATTTTGAAGACAAAATATGCTAGATGAGTGGAGGAGTGTGTTGATTCATATTTTTAAGAATAAAGGTGATGAACAAGAGTGTGTGAATTATAAAGAAATTAAGCTAATGTGTCGTACTTTAAAACTTTAGGAGAGAGTTATTGAGCATAGGTTACGTCGTGATACTAGTGTTTCTCAAAATCAATCTGGATTCATGCTAGGTATGCCTACTATGGAAGCTATACATTTATTGAGAGCTTTGATGGAGAAGTATAGGAAGAATATGGAGAATCTACATATGATATTTATTGATTTAGAGAAAGTTTGTGATAAAGTTTCAAGAGAAGTGCTATGGAGAGTTTGAGAAATGAAAGGAGTTAATAATGCTTATACTCAATTCATTAAGGATATGCATGCAGGAGCTGCTACTTGTGTTCAAAGGTGGGACCAAGTATTTTCCTATTTTAGTTGCATGAAATCAAGGATCAACTTTAAGCTCATATATATATATATATATTAGTCATGGATGTTCTTACTAGGCGTTTGCAGGAGGATGTACCATGGTGTATGTTTTTTGTTGATGATATTCTTCTTGTTGATAAGACTAGAGGGTAAGTTGAAGGTAAACTTGAATTATAAGAATAGAGAGGGAGTTGAATGTTAACTTGAATTATGGAGATCAATATTAGATTCTAAAGGTTTTCATTTGAGTAGATCTAAAAATGAATATATCGAATGCAATTTTAGTAGTAATAGATATAATGCGGGGATTTTTACTTTGGGTGATCAGTCATCAATAAGAGTACACGTTTTAAATATCTAAGATCTATTGTACAGAGTGATGGGAGAATAAGGAATTTACATATGATATTTATTGATTTGGAGAAAGCTTATGATAAAATTCCATGAGAAGTGTTATGGAGAGTTTTATAGAAGAAAGGGGTTAATGATGCTTATAGTCGAGTCATTAATGATATGTATTCAGGAGCTGCTACTTGTGTTCAAACCGAAGGAGGTTGGACTAAGTATTTTCCTATTTCAGTTGGATTACATCAAGGATCAGATTTAAGTTCATATATTGTTGCTTTAGTCATGGCTGTTTTTACTAGACATTTACAAGAGGATGTATCATGGTGTATCTTTTTTGCTGATGATATTCTTCTTGTTGATAAGACTAGAGAGGGGGTTGAAGGTAAACTTGACTTATGGAGGTCAACCATAGAGTCTAAAGGTTTTCATTTGAGCAGATCTAAAACCGAATACATGGAGTATACTTTTAATAATAATAGATCTAATGGGGGGATTGTGACTTTGAGCGATCAAGTCATTAATAAGAGTACCTATTTTATATATATCGAGTCTATTGTCCGATGTAGAAAAAGGATTCATGTAGTCGACCCCACGCAGTGGTATAAAGGCTTGTTGTTGTTCTTGTTGTTGAGTCTATTGTCCGATGTGATGGTGAAATAGATGGAGATTTAATTATTAGAATTCAAGTTGGATGGTTGAAGTAGAGGAATGCATTGGGCTTGTTGTGTGATAGAAAAATGCCCCTCAAACTTACGGGAAAATCCTATAAGATGGTGGTGAGACCTGCAATACTTTATTGGCACAGAATGTTTGCCATTAAAAGAGAAGCATACAATTAAGTTAAGTGTTGCAAAGATGAGGATGCTTAGGTGAATGAGTGGCTTTACTCTAAGAGATATAGGGGCTGTTTGATATGCAGCATTAGGTGGGTAAAGTAAAATAATTATAGGTATTTGTCAAATGAGACTGTTTGGTTCATTTTGAGCGGAACCAAAGGAAATCGTCGGAGGAATTAGCGGTGTATTAATAGAGGTATTTCGGCGAAAAAGAAACCCGCTCAAATTGAGTGGGTTCTAAATTCTCTGCATTTCATCGTCTTTGCTGTTCGGCTTCATTGCTTCGCAGGTGTAAGATTGCACGAGTGGCTTCTTCGGCTCCTTCGTTCTCGTTCGACTTAGCTCCTTCGACGACGTTCCCTTTGCCGTCCCAAACGTCCCCTTCCCCAATACCTTCGCTGAAGCCCGCAGCAAATCCTCCAAATCAAACTCTGGTGCTCCCACATTCCCCAAAAACATCGATCTCTTCCCTATCTATGGTTTCTTTAACACCGCCTCCGACCATTTCGCAACCATGGCCGCCTAGCCTTACTCCCGCAGCGCAAGAACACAAAAAGAATCAGTACTATAACTACTAACGCCGTCGAACCAACCACGATTCCGGCGATGGTGCCGCTGGAGAGCTTACTCCCCCCTCCAGCTCCTGCAACCTCTGGAACTGTCATCGGTGAGATCCCGTTGGGGCATGGAGGTAGAGAACCACCGCAGAGCGAGGTCCCTTAAAAGCGCTCGATGGCATCTTCTAAAGCTTAGAAGGCAGGGAGCCATTCAGCCGGTTATAGGAGACATTGAACTGCTTCAGTTTCATGACGGGGAGGAGGACAGAGTTTGGAACGAGAATGAGAATTATTTGGCCAGATAAGATTCCGATTTCATGGAGTCCTGAGGCCATGCGATCGACAATGGAGCGGAGTTCTTTGTAAGAGATGGAAAATCCTGATGCAGAGTCGATGGGAGCTGTTTGATCGCGGTGAAGCCTGGAGAAGAGAAAGGAGGAAAGGTCATGAAATGCGTCTTGTGGAAGGGATCTTTAGGGGTGCTTGCTGATGTAGATTCCAGTTTCTGTGGAGAACCAGTTTAGAATATCGAAGATGGAGAAACTTTGGCGGCCGGAGAGAGCTCCCTCCATGGGAGAGAAGTAAAGGTAGCCTTTTTGTTTCTTTGGTGCTAATTGCAACTAATAATTTATTGACAAGCAAGCATGCTCTGAGAGAGAGTGAGAGAGAAGGTTTCTTCCCTCTCTTCTGAGAGAGATCTGTTCCAATTGGACGATTTAAAATAGGAAACGCCAATGAGAATGAGATATTGGTTCATTTTTTCGCAAGCTAGAAAAAATCGAGCAGGCTCATGGGAGATCCTTCAATAGCTTGGGAGACAATAATAGTCGTAATTCACGATTTATGGATGGTCAAGGTGAAGGTTTTGATACACTCTCACATAGTATGGATTCAAAATTGAAGAAAGCAGCTAATACTTTT